TTATTTTCGTTACTACTCTATAATTGTAATTTTGCCACTGTTATGAATCGTAATGTAAATATATTTTTGTTTTCCGATGGTCTTAGGCGACCCCTGTGAAAGGGTCATTCGACCCCCAAAGGGGTCGAGACCCACAGGTTGAGAACCGCTGATAGAACAAGGCCTGGAACATGGTAGCTACGCGGTCAGACAATTAAGTTCACGAACTCATCCTAGAAAAAAGTGCTATATACCTCATTGCTGAATATCAATACAGTCACCTTCAAAGTACTCCCCTTGGGAATCTATGCACTGATGCCAGTGCCTAGTCCACCCTTGAAAGCAATTTTGAAACTCTTTTTCTGGAATGGCCATCAGAACTGTTGTCATATTACCCTTAATGTCCTGAATGTCATTAAAATGTCTTCTTTCCAATATTTCCTTTATCTTCAGGTAAAGGAAGAAGTCATTGGGGGCCAGATCAAATGAGTAGGGAGGGTGTTCCAATACAGTTATTTGCTTACTGGCTAAAAACTCCCTTACAGACAGCACCATGTGAGCTGGTACATTGTCATGATACAAGAGCCATGAATTGTTGGCAAAAAGTTCAGGTCATCTAACTTTTTCATGCAGCCTTTTAAGCACTTCCAAATAGTAAACTTGGTTAACTGTTTGTCCAGTTGGTGCAAATTCATAATGAATAATCCCTCTGATATCAACAAAGGTTAGCAACATCGTTGCAACAAGTTCGCGAACTTGTCAGACTTTATGTTCAATAAATATTGAATTTGTTGAATGAGTAATAAGATTTAATGAATAAATGTGATTGTGAATGGTGGAAAGTATATCTAGAAAAACTGTCAGACAACAGATCATGAAGTTTCATAGGTATCAAGGTAAGGAATTTGTCTTAAAAATTATGGAGGCATTGAAAAATTTTCATCAGAGGGGTGATATGATGAGGTTTATATTTTTGAAAGGTTTCTCTGCCTGCTGTTGGGAGTGAAGCTGGGTGAGACTAGAGCAAAGAGACTAATTAAGAACACCGCCCACACTAGCCTTCCCTCATTAAATCACTTGACACACAATCAAAAGGCTATTGACCAGGCACAGTGCTAGAGACACAAAGACAAAGGAGCCTTAGTAACTAAGGGTCCTGACTCTACCATCAGTCCTGTAGTCAAATCTGGCTGAGACACTTCCCAACTGTGCAACCCTAGGAAAATTACCTGCCCTCTCTTTGTCTTAGTTTTCTTATCTATAAAATTAGGATAATTAAAGGATTAAATGAAATAATGCATATAAGGTGCTCAGCATAGTTCCCCGCTCAATAAACACTGCCCTTTGTCATTATTATCAGTTCCTGTGCTCAAGAAGCTCACAGACTAGTGAGAAAAACTGACATAAAACCATACCATAGCAACTCCATGTGAAAACGGAGTTGTACACAGGGCATTATGGGACTCTTACATGACTCAGCAGGAGCAAAAGGGTGCCAGGAAAAGCTTCCAGGAATGGGGTTTATGAGGCTGGAACCACCAGCAGGAGCAGATCCTGGGGTCTCGACCATGAAACTATGATCTGGTACAATGGAGGTAGGGTCAGGAAAGTGGGAGGATTTGCAGTGCTGTGCAGGAGCCAGCTTGTACAAACTTCTGCACCTCTTTTCCCAAATCCATATTTAGTGTCATGTGAGTAGCTTGAAATTAGTCATAGTGGGAGGATTTACACCATGGAAATTGGCAAACACTACAAATGGGGGGATTTTTTTTTTTTTACCCCAAAGAATTGTTAAACATTTACTGGCACATCACTGGATGGAAGTAGTATGAGAAAGGAGATCCCCATTGGACTTTGTGAGTGATTAGAAGGAATCTAGGCTATCCGCTTCCCTGTTTTGGTGGCTGGGTGGGAGATCGTGCAGGGGCCTTGAGATAGGAAATATGAGAGAGTTGAGTGAGGAGCCAGAAGGAGCGGGAGGCATTCATCTGCTCGGGGTCATAGCACTTCAGTCCTGTTTTTGCTCTCTTGGAGACAGAAGAGAGCACAGAGCACTGCCCCCAGGCAAAGCTCCACCTAATGGCTTGGAGTCCTGGGAGTCGCCCAGTCCTTGCACAGGCTGTCCTACATGAATCCAGGAAGAATCGAATCAGTTCTTTCCAGCAGAGTTAACATGACCCATTGTTGGAAATAGTGACAAAATTAAAAGACTGCCTGTGGACTTTAATGTGATATGAATCACCTGAAATTCATGGGTCCGATAATCAAAAGATAAAATGAAAATTCACCTTTATCCAACTTGAGTAAATACATAGTTCAAGCACATTGTGTAACAGAATGGGTTTTCTATAACGGTCGCAGATGTAAAATGCCACAAAGGATTGCTAAAAACCTGGCTGCTTGACTCCCTGAACAGCAGAAGACACTGAGAAGCCTGCAGGTGCTCACCAAGAGCTGGTCGTGCAGGTAGATCTTATTTCCTGTTCAGCTGCCTAACTAGCAGATGAGGACACCCACCATGGAAAGATGTATCTTGACTTCAGCTGGACACTTAACAAAATTGTTCATTCACTCATTCAACATACAACAAATATTTTAATGAAGTGTGTGTGCTAGGAACTGGGGACATGACAGTGAACGACACTCAATCTTACCCTCAAGGTGGGGGAGGGACACAGCAAGGAAACAGAGCCAACATGGTGTGGTAAGTCAAGGGACTTCCAATCCTATTTGGGCAGTCAAGGATGGCTATATTTGTAGCTAAGATGGAGAAAAGTGGAGAAAATTACATTAAATTCAGAGAACTATACCCAAAATGATAACCTGGAAACAATCCTAACATTCAGTATAAAATGACTCTGCTCTTATCCATATCAATAACGTTTTTTGTGATTTGGGTAACTATAGAGAAAGCAAACTGGCCAAGTATGTAGATGGCCTGAAGGAGGGGCAAGGCGCAAGATAGTATGACAGAGTCAGGTCTCATCTGGGCCCACTGGATTGACGGTTGACTGACAAGATGAAATTTTGTAGGTCAAGCATTTAATGTTACATTGTTTTTTTTAATTATGTAAATATGAGATGGGGAAACTTGGCTTATGAGTTAATCGGTGATAAAGACAGAGGTCTTTTAGTTGCACCATCATGAGGACGTATTGGGAAAAGAAACTATAATAATAAAATAATAAAATCATTGAGTATAGAACTAGGACACTGAGGTCCTTTTCCTCAAAACACATGTCTAATCTTGACGACATAAGCCCCATACCTTAAGAGGAATGTTGACAAATAGTAGGGTGTCCGGAGGAGAGCCAATAGAGTGTGATGGAATCACAAGTGAAGCAATGTGAGAGATGGTCAAGGAAAATAATAATAATAATACTTGGTAAATTTGTTGAGCACTTTATATATACTCATACTGTGCTAAGAATTTTACAGTTACATTTTCATTCAATCCTCACAATAATTTCATTCTGTCAAATATAAATTATTATTATCCCCATTTTTCAGAAGAGCATATAGTCTTGGTGAGCTTAAATAACTTGCTCAAGTTGCAGTAACACAGTTGTTATTGCAGGGGCTCAGGTGTTTTCTACTATAACATAATGTATGTGCTCCTGAACAACCTTGCTTTCTGCAAAATCATGCAAAGTAATGAAGGGAAGGAGATAGTTAAAAAAATAATAAGGGGCGATAGGGTGGCTCAGTTGGTTGGAATGCGAGCTCTGAGCAACAGGGTTGCCAGTTCGATTCCCACATGGGATGGTGGGCTGCGCCCCCCCCCCGCAACTAGATTGACAAAAGAGCGACTGGACTTAGAGCTGAGCTGCACCCTCCTCAACTAAGATTGAAGGACAACAACTTGACTTGGAACTGATGGGTCTTGGGAAAAACACACTGTTTCCCAATAAAGTTAATAATAATAATAATAAAAACAGCAACGTTCCTAATAAAAATGTAGGGCCGGCCGAGTGGCTCAGTTGGTTAAGAGCTCGCTCAAGAGTTTGAGCTCTGAGCAACAGCTGTTCGATTCCCCATCCGAACTGAGCAGTCACTGAGCTGCCAACACGTGGCAGGATGGCTCAGCTTAAAAAAAAAAAAATGACGCACCTAGTAAAAATGTAAGGATACATCAAATTATTATTAATATTGTTAAGTACTTCAGAAAATATAGGAATTTACCCTTTACAAAAAGGATGCTAGAAGGAGGTTACAAAGAAGAGTTACACCTGCTGAATTGTGAGAGAAAGAGAGAGGAGGAAATTGAGATTACAACTGGTTTAAATCAATTACAGTAGAGCTACCTTCCTGAACTCAGAGACTCTCCTCCCCCTCTGAACACATTAAGTCCATTTTCTCTTAAATAACACATACTAATGTTAATAAACACAGGAAAAAAATAAAACGCCAGAAGAGAAATAAAACACAAGTGCATGTTAACCATAGAAGATAAATTTGGAAAACAGAAGCTGACAAAATAGTTTTTAAGTGGTATAGAAACACATTGAGAAATCTTATTGATTTCATGTCCAAGATTTTGAAGAATTATTGTTCTGGTTTGGTTTATTAGAAAGTCTAACTTTGCCAAAGGCCAAAAAGGAGGAGGAAGAGGAAGACCATCCTAAAGGAAAGAGATTTAAAGTGAGGATATCTACCCACAGGCTGTACAAGTGGCTGGGCTCGTCTGAAACACACAGTGTTGAATACTAAATCAAGGCCCCCATGGGCATACTTTGCATGGCACAAATTCAGGAAAACGTGTCAAGGAAGCTGCCCACCCTGTGGCTTTCAGGGGTGCCTGGCCTGCCTCAGCAATGCCTTCCTGGCCTGTCAAGCCAGGCAGATAGGAAGGGGACAGACAGCCCAGCACAGCACTGGCTGAGGGCTGAATTTCACGTCCTCTTAAAATCAAGAAATAAAGGAGGGAAATCCAGAAGATTTGGAATCCAGGAAAAACACCAGGTTTGGTGTTTTATATTTACTGATTCATCAAAATTTTTGAGTGCTATTATGTGCCAGTTCCTAACTGCTGAGGCTGCAGCAATGAATAACACATAGTTCCTTCCTTCCAGGTGTCCATAAGAGACAGACACAGAAAAAGGCAATACATACTTTGAAAGGTGAAATGCAAAGTATTATACTATGGAAAACATGGGAGCCAGGAGGGAATGATGCCAAGGCTGAGACCTCGACGGTGAACAGCACTTAGCCAGGTGAAAAAGGCAGGGCAGAGTGTTCCAGAAGGACGGAGTCCCATGTGACCTGGAGGCAGGAAAAGCATGAGAATT